AGAAGAACATTAATTTTGTTAACCACTTAGAAACCTAGCTTCTTACAAGACTGAAATTCAAATTCATTAATGCCAACTTTTTAGTTATAAAAAATAATTAATTATTATTAAGATTCTAACATAAAATCAAATATGAAATAGTCTATCAGGTTCCACTCGAAAAAATAAAAAGTGAGTTCAATATATTATGCAAAGTTTTGGTTCACATGAATGAGAGTACCAAGTGGTACTCATAGTGTACTGAGTCCTACAAATTCCAAATAAGTTATGCAGTGGTTACCTAATGAAGGGACTCATGCCCAACACAAAAGGTATCAACCACAAACATTCCCCACTTTTATACTACACATCAGATCAATACAATGCCATTTTTCTTCACAATTTTCTCTCTAAATTTAAAAGTTGTAGCATCTCATATATTGCATTTGCTTAAAGTAATTTTGCTTGAAAGCAAAATTACAATGTGAAGTCATTATTCAAAGTGCAGTGATGATGATTAGATCTCTAATCTTTATAAAGAAATTTAATATTTTATCTCAAAACTAAGAATAAGCAAATTATTCGTAAAGAGCATTTTGTTTAATTTGTGATTTGACCTTAAATATAATGATTATTTAATATATTTACTTGTATATTTACAATTTTATTTTCTTTTCAATCTTAATTCTATTGTTCACTCAAATTTAATGATCATTTAATATATGTATTTATATATATTTATAGTTTTATCATTTTATCCTTTTATTTTTTTTCATTTTTTTATATGTTTTTATTATTAATAATATATTATTTATCTCTCTAAAATCTGTTACTGTTTATGTCAAAATTTTAAAAATATTTTAAATTATTTATCTGTAAATTATTAAAGTAACTCTTTTTATTTATTTAATTTTCACCACTTATTGATATAATTTGGATAATTGTAAGTTTGTATATATAAATATAAATTCAATCAATTTTTTAAGGTAACTAGTTATATATGTTAATGTCTAATCTTAAATTTAACCACATGTACCAAAATTGTTTTACCATGTAAAAGAAAAAAGAAATTATACTCCTCTACACTCGTTTAATGATAAGAAGAGGTTTAACGGCTTAATCATATTTAGTTATAATGATGGATGGAAGGAGTAGTGGGATTTGTTTGTTTCGCGTTTAAAAAAAATAGTTTTTAAAAATTAAAATACATTTTTTAATAATTGTTTTATTAAAATAGCTTTTTAAAAACTGTTTATATTTTTAATGTTTTAAAAACTTCAAAAATTAAAACTGATACAATATGTTTGTTTATTTATTTTATTAATGAATATTAACATTCTTATTAATAATTATATTAAATTATTTATTATCGTCATTATAAAATTGTTAAAATAATTTGTTAACTTTTATTAGGGTTTTTTGTAGTCATTTATATATATATATATATATATATATATATATATATATATATTGTTTTTTTTTCTATTTAAAACGTTTTGAAAAATAAAGTTTTTAAAAATATTTTTGAAAGCTTAATAACAAAACTAAATCAAACAAATATATGTTATTACCCTCCCAAAATATTTAAATTTTATTAGATTTGATATATTATTTATAGTTTTTCATTTTATCACTTAAAAAATAAATATATTTTATTTTTTACTCGAGGTAAAATTTGGCTCACTCTTATTATAATAATGTCATCACAACATTTTTAAACCACTATAATAAATTACCATCACAAATCTTTCATCTAGATTAAATAAAACATGATCAAATCTTTATTATTTTCTAGGTTATACTCAAATCACACATATAAATCCTACTCCTTCTCTTATTAACTCAAATATCAATAATATAAACATAAAGAAAAAGTTAAATAATTTTAATATTTTTTTTAAACTAATTAATAACAATAGAAATTAGATAATGTGATAGAAAACTTATTTAATATGTTAATTGTGTAATTTAAATTATGAAAAATAGACAAGTAAATATTTTTATAGATATTTTGAGATCAAATAATATATTATTAATAAATAATAATAAAATTTTAAAAATAAAAATATAAAAAAGTTTAAAATTACATATATGTAAATAGATTATATATTTAATAACTATTACATTTGAATAAATTATAATATACATATATATTATAAAATTTTGAGAATGGTCTTTTAAAAAAAATAGAATATCCACTTATTTATTAAAAGACAATTATAATATTTTAAAATTAAGCAATTTTTTTAAAAAATATATTAATGTTTTGTTGATAACAAGCATTGAATTATTTTCATTAATATATTATTAAGTGGACACTTATAAACATGTCACTCTGTTAACAATAAGATGATTTATTAATATAATAGGGCAAAATTATATAATTTTAGAAGAATTAAAGATAAAATCTGTCAGTAAATTTTACAAGAATCATATATTTTTAAAATATCCAACAAGTAAAATTATTTTAAAGTAATTATTTTTTTTTCACTGTACGACAGTGCAAAGTACTCTTATTAAATTATGTAGGTAGGTTTTAAATAATTTTTTCTTATATTTTTAAGCGTTTATATGCTTATAATTATTTATATATTAATAAAGTTTTGACATTTTAATAATAAATTATATATGAAAGTGTTTCTAGGCGCGTCAGTTACAGTTACCTTGCTTACTCAAGTCAATAACTGTTTTCTTTTTATCAGTTTTATTCGTGAATATTTTATTAAAATGTATTTGGAGTTTATTTATATGTTTTTTTTTTAAATGTTTTATGAGATTGAAGTAAACGGATATGACCCACTATCTAACCATGCAACATAAAAGAAAAATGATACTTTCACAACCCAAATTCATACAACTTCTATAAACAACCTGATTTAATATTATAATAATAATTTTGTTTTATTTTTATTTTTTTAAAATCAGTCTATAGATTATTATATTAATAAAAGTGAGTTGTTTGAAGAAGTTGTATGGTTTCAGATTGTCAAAATATCACTACTCAACATAAAATTAGTAAAGGACCTAAAAAAAGTATCTTTTGCATGTACTTCTTAACTACTCTTAATTTACCTTATTTTCGTGATTAGTGTCTTTTTTCCTTTAATTTGTTTTTAGTAAATAAAAATACATTTTTTTAAATTTTATCTTTCATTAAAAAAAAACAATATAATTTTAAAATCATACATTAATATAAATAAACGTAAAAAGTAAATATATGATAATGTTTATTTGGTATGAATAATTTTGTTTTCCTCTATGAAAATAATTAATGAACCCCTAATAAATTTTGGAGAGTATTACCTCAAAAAAAGGGTTTAGTGTAGCAGTATTTTCGTGGCTTTCACTTATTACATGGAATTTTAATTCTGTTGAAAGTAACCCTAAAATCAAGATTTGTGGATTCTTACTTAACACATTCATGTTAAGTTAAATCCTACAACGATTCATTTTGAAAGATGAATTCAAAGGTACTCTAGATGATTATGCTGTAAAACATAATTAACAATGATAAACAAAACTAGATTTTAAGCATTACTACAAATATTAATTATGTTTGCAATAAGAAGAAAATAAATTCTTATTTTGAGATTCAAAAATAAAAAAATGATGATGCAGTAGTTCTTACAAATTATATGTTACAAAAAGAAGAATATAAATTATAAAATCTCAACAGATTTGTTATCGTTACAGTATAAATTAGATTCAAATTTGTAATATCAAAATAATGATTGCATCCAAGTTATATTTATGAAAAATAACCAAAAAAAAAAAAAAGTTAAAGACTGAAAAACTAATCTACAGTTAAGAATTGTTAGTTGATACATATAAAATGATTGAAGTAGACACATTTATATGTCATTTATATCTGAAAATATTGTTAACAATATTAAGTTGAAATATTATAGTAATTAATATGGTAAAATAAATATTTAACCGTGATTAAAAACATGTCAAAAGAACAAATACTTTCATGATAAAAAAAGATTAGTATATTAGAAATTATCCAAGTTAAGTTTATTTATCATGCATAAAACTTTCAATTTAAACAATAAAGTAAAGTGTTTGCTAACACAGATCTTTGTAGATTTGCATGGATAAAATTTGCGACAAAATTATTATTTTAGTATTTTATCGATTTAAAAAAAAAAACACGAGCATAATGATTTTTTTTTGTAATAAAATATAGGTGGAGCAAAACTTTTTAAAACCTGAGTCTTTCTGTTTTTGTTTGTTTGTTTATAAAAAAAAAATGGTTAATGGAAAACACAAATTTGGTGTTAAGATTAGATTACATTAGGCACACACACCTCTATCTCTCTCTTCTTTCTCTCTCTTCTGTAATAATTTATAAATTGTCCCATCAAAGGCTCTTCCCATCTCTCTTTCTTTTTCTGTTTGTGTTGTGTTGTGTTCAATTTCCATTTTTTTCACCATTTTTTTCTCTCTTTGCTTCTCAATTTCCCTCCATTCCCACGAAATCTAGGGTTTCCATTTCCCCTTCATCCCAGGTACGTGCTCTGCCTCTTCCCCTGCTTTGATTTCCATCTCACCCTCCCATTTTCGGTGATCCCGATTTTGATTTAATTTCGATAATTTGGCTTGGTTTCGACAATTTTGTATTTCTTGTTTTGTTTTTTAATTTTCTGCACCTGAATTCTTCGTAATTGTGTATGTTGATTTTTACTCGTATCGTTTATCAGGTGGCATGTGTGGTGGGGCTTTGAATTTCGGGTTAATTAGGGAAACCCTTTTCCATTTTTCTTCTTGTTTCCCCATGGGCTTCACTCCTAGATTGGGGTTTCCTTTTTTCTTTTTCTTTTTCGTTTTTCTTTATGGTTTCCGAGAGATTGAAATGCTGGTGGCTTAGCAACTGCTTTGTATTTATGTTAGTCTTAGGAATGGAGTTTGTATGAGGTGTATTTATGCTTCGTGGGTTGACACATACAGGGATAGTGGTTGGTTGGGTTCTGTATAGTGTAGTGGTGAGAGGAGTGTAGAGGAACGAATTTTCTGTGAGGATGACAGATTTTCAGCCGCTACAGCAGAAGCCCGAGCCTGCTGATTCTCATACCGAGTTTGAGAGGGGACTGGAGGAGTTTATGCGTGGGCACTTGGATGATTGTATGTCATTTGCTTCGTGTAGCTCCTCCCGTGCACCTGATGATGAGGATGACGAGAGCGATCAGCTGGTTCGGAGGAGACGCAGGTCTGACCTTGAAGGGGATGATTTGGCAGAGTCGTCCGCCGCACGCCGGCGGCATTCAAGGATTTTGAGCAGATGGGCTGCACGGCAGGCACAGGAGATGATAACTACTATTGAGAGGAGGAATCGAGAGTCTGAGTTGATGGCGCTTGCGGGTTTACATACTGTGTCAATGTTGGATTCTTCTTTCCTGAGGGGCTCACAGTCTCCAACTTCTGGCCAGGAGGGGGCTGTGGAGAGACCAAGCACTCAGGCGTCTGCCATTCTGCAGATGTGGCGTGAATTGGAAGATGAACATTTGTTGAACCGGGCACGGGAAAGGATGAGGGTAAGGTTGCGGCAGCAAAGGAGTTCTGACTCTAATACCCATGTGTCCAGTAACATGTCTGATAGTCGAGGCAGTGAGAATCAAGGGAGTTTGGGGGATGCAAGTGAAAGTGAAAACGATTATGGTACTTGGTCACATGATCAGATTAGGTCGAGAAATGCACATGGGGATCATAATGTGTCTAGCAGGGAGCAATCTCCTGATCTTGGCGAAGTTGAGAGGGAGAGAGTTAGGCAGATTGTTAGGGGGTGGATGGAAAGTGGCATTAGTGATCATTCATCCAATGTGAGTCAGAGAAACAATAACCGGAGAGCAGAATGGCTTGGAGAAACAGAGCGTGAGAGGGTAAGAATTGTCAGGGAATGGGTGCAAATGACCAGCCAGCAGAGAGGTTCCCGTGGGAGCCGGAGGGATTCTCAAGTAAGTGAGGGTGGTCAAGCTGATCGAGGCCGTGATGTAGCCGATAATGATGAGAGTCAGCCAGAGCATGTTCGGCGGGATATGTTGAGGCTGCGTGGAAGACAGGCTCTAGTTGATTTGCTTGTCAGGGTAGAAAGGGAAAGGCAAAGAGAGCTGCAGGGATTGTTGGAGCATCGAGCTGTCTCTGATTTTGCTCATCGCAATCGTATTCAGGTTTGTTGAGTACTCTATTAAAATTTCCTTGCAATTTATGGTGTATTCACTTGATAGAAAACCTGAGTTGATTATGGAAGTAACTAGATTGTACAAGAAGTCGATTTTTATTTGAGGCTCTGATAATTGCACTATTTAAGCTTAATCATATATGTTAAAGTGTGTGTTGATCTTTGTCTTAATATTAAGGATTTGCACCCATTGTTCACGGTCTTGATTGTGATTTCTCCCTCCTTGGATATGTTTATCAATTGCTCTTGGCTCCAGTATTTAAGGTTGCTACATGTGTTGTGTTATTTTATTGCCTGATGCATGACATTTTAAGAATACTATTCAAGAGTTATTTCTGTGGTTTGGATTACCAAACCTTTTTCTAGAAGGGAATATTTAAGGTTTCTACATGTGCTGTGTTATTTTCTTGTCTGATGCATGACATGTTTAGAATATTATTCAAGAGGTATTTCTGTGCTCTGGATTACCAAACCTTTTTCTAGAAGGGAATAATGAAAGGATGGAAGAACGTTGTCTTTAATTCCTTTGTTTCTGTTAATTGTTGTTGTGGATAATGGGTGGAACTGTGCTTCTATATATGATATGCTTACTATAAGAGATCTTTCATTGTTATCTGAAATCTATTTCTTCCTTTTTCAATTTGATTTATTCAGTTGCTTCCTTTTTAGTTTTTAATTATTTTCTTTTTTAAAATTTGACAAATCATTTGATTAGAAGATATTTATGCACACATAACTTGTTTGGTTTCAATTTTTTTTCACCATGTATGCATGCTCTTTTAAATTGACTATCTATATGAAATTACATCTTTCAGTCACTGCTTAGAGGTAGATTCCTTCGAAACGAAAGAACAGTTGAAGATGAGAGGCCACCATCTATGGCTGCAAGTGAACTAGTTCAGCTAAGACAACGGCATACAGTCTCTGGTTTAAGGTATGCAATTCAAGACTTTTCCAAAGTTTTTCCCCCACCCTTTTCAACATTTACTCAACCTAATTAGGATTTTTATTTCTGTTTCTTTTATCTTAGAGTCTAAACTGATACAAAATAGAACTTGTCCTCACCCCCTTTTATTTTAGGGTTCTCCAAGATACGAAAGAAAAATGTTATATTATCTTATAATTTAAATGAAGTCAAATGTTCTCTTCTAAATCCATGTTCTGGTGTGCTTCTTCTGCCCATATTCATCTTCGAACTGTTAGTATAGAAATAAAATAAAATAATTGAGAAGCTCTAACATCTGTGACAAGTAGTAGCCTTTGGTATAGAAATAAAGTAAAGTAATTGAGATTCTCTAAAGTATGTGACAAGGAATAGAAACTTAAGCACACATTGGTGGATTTTTTATGGACTAAGTAATTTCGTGCACAATGGTGGATTTTCATTCTAATATGATTTACATTATGTCATGGGAAATAGTGTCGGTATGGGGAGGATTATGATTTCTTTTGATATTTGTTTGTTGATTGGTTTAAATGAATATTTGTGTTGCAATGGAAGATAGCATTTTGTTCATAATAAATGGATAGAGTTTCCTTTTTTTTTTTTCGTATTTGTATTTGTTCATAACACTTTCTCAAAAGTGGCTAGAAATTAGTTTGCTGCTTCCAAATAACTGGATTTAGTTAAACCAGTCAAACCGACTAAATTTTTGGGTTGAACTAGCTTTAATAAAAATATTAAAAGATAAAAAAATAATTATTTTTAAATACAATTTTTTTATGAAAGATATAATATTTATTTTATTTTATTTATCTCATATTAGTCATATCAACTTTAAATAATAATTATTTTATTATGTTTTTATTTTCCTTTAATGATTATCCTCCTTTCACTTTCTATGTATTTTATATATATATAATTTTCATTGTAACCTACTGTGACCCTGATAACAATCTTTATTATTTTATTTTATCTTTTTAAAAAATTGTTGTAATTAATAAACTTATTATATATTTATTGTATTATGGAAATATCATTTTATTAAATTTGGTTAGACCTTGGTTAAACCCGAGATGAACTTTTGAAACCTGAATCCATGTTTTCATCGGTTCAGTGTCCGGTTCTGTTTTAAAAACATTGGTTCATATTGACAATGCTCTAATGCAAATTCTCACTGATTTTTTTATGGTTGGTTACTTGTATTAGGTTTATTTTCTGTTCTGAGTTGCACTGTAAATAAAATATTTATAATTAATTATTGTTTGTTATAATCCCTGTTTATTTATTTTGTTTTTGGTAGCACTTTAGTTTTTGCTCATAAGTTTCTTACTCAATATTTTCTGAGCTCTATATATTTATGCTCTTTGATAAGACACTAGGCTATACGATGTGTGTTAACTTGGCTTGTTTGTTTATTTCCTTTAAACTTTTTTAAATAACATTATGTTTATAATAAATATGCTTATGATTATGCTTCTATAGTTCTATTCAAATATGGTATGTTGGTGAATATTGTGTGTGCAATTTGTTCCTGTCATAGTTACTTGTTGATTGTCATGCATTGATTCTTAAATGATGTAATTCAGGGAGGGTTTTCGATCAAGATTAGAAAATATTGTTCGTGGTCAAACAGGCACCAATCCTGATACCACATCAAATAGTAATGCCATTGAAACAAGAGGGGATGAAAACCAAGCAAACAGTCTAGTTAATGGCCAACAAGAACATTATGAACAACAGCAGATTAGGAGCCTGGAAGCTGATGTGCGTCAGTTGCCTAATCGGACAGGAACTTTGGAGAGTAGCACAAGTGAGAATATTAGTTGGCAAGAAGCTAGTAACCAAGGAGGGAATTGGCAGGAACAAATTGCTGAAGATGGGGGAGGAAACTGGCAACAGAGTCCATTCTCTCAGACGAGAGATGGAAGGGCAGTCAATGATTGGCCACAGGAACCTCCCAGGAATTTAGCTGGGGAAGATCCTCATCCTCGAGAAGCTCAAAGAATTTGGCATGAGGATAGCACAAGGGAAACTGCTAGTAATTGGTCTGAAGGAGCTTCTGGAGCTTCAAGGAATCATCGTGGGGTTCCTGTGAGAAGATTCAATAGATTTCATCCACCTGATGATGATAATGTATACAGTATGGAGCTTAGAGAACTTCTGAGCAGGTAATTTTTTCCTTTTGGATCTTTTGCATCAGATGGATTTCAGCCTGTTTGGCTTGTTCTGTCCCAATGGGTGTTTGAAAAAAGGAAATCAGAGGAGTTTCTCCCAAGAGTGTCCTGTTTTTTATACAAACATCCCTTTTACCCTTTCAAAAATCTAAGCGATCGGGCAATGTATACATTGAGATTGTACTGAATGTGTTTGATACTTCATTTATTCTAGCCACTAAGCCTTATGGTTGTTATGGATTTTTGCAAATGTTTCAGGAGGAGTGTTTCTAACCTTCTTCGTAGTGGATTCCGTGAAAGTCTGGACCAACTAATACAGTCATATGTGGAAAGGCAAGGTCGTGCACCAATTGACTGGGATTTGCATCGGAACTTGCCAACGCCAGCTCCTGCTTCACCTGAACGGGAGCCAGACCAGCGGGGTGATGAACGAGATGAGGGTCAGAATGAAACAATTAACAGACCTTCATTAGTGTTGCCAACTCCACCAGTGCCTCCGCCACAACCTATGTGGCACCAGGATTTACATCAAACTGGATGGTCACGCCATAGCATACATCGTTCCGAAATTGTGAGCATCTTTCAAATCTAATTCCTTAGGGACTTCCATTCATGAAATGTCACGTGACATAGTATTATGTTGCTTCTTTCTCTCATTATTTTACATGCAACCAAGTTAGGCTTTTCTTTGTTGAATATTCAGTGATCACTACATATCTCTTCCATTACATTTTGTGTGTTGATTATTACCATATTAAGTGATGCTACACTACACTACACATACTTAATAAGGAGTCCAAGTAAAAGTATTTGAATCTGACAAAATCATATTAAAATGAAAGATTCTAATTAGCTTCAAAACTTAGGCTAATTATCGCTTGAGATTTTTGATGTCATTCAGGTGTTGACTATTGATACGCTTTCTGGCAATAGGTCAACTTATTTTACCTCTCATTTATGGAGTCCTTTCTTTGTCTAAATGTTTTTCATACTTTATTTTATTGCAATCGTTTTTGAAGTACGGGTATTGTTTGCTGGTTGGGGACAGGAGTGGGAGATAATGAATGATTTAAGATCAGATATGGCTAGACTTCAGCAAGGCATGAATCACATGCAGAGGATGTTGGAGGCGTGCATGGATATGCAACTGGAGTTGCAGCGTTCTGTTAGACAGGAAGTATCTGCAGCTCTGAACCGCTCCACTGGTGAAAATGGTGTGATTTATTTTCTCTTCTATAAATTCAGTCATTATTTATTTATTTTTTGACTTCGTGTGAGGGGTTTTATTCTTTTGACAGTAGTACAACTGTATCGGTTGACTCTATTTGAATGTTAATTATCTGTACTTATCTTTCTCTATCTCCTGTTTGTTCATATTATTTTGTAGGATTGGGTGCTGAGACATCTGATGATGGGTCTAAATGGGGGCATGTGAAAAAAGGAACTTGCTGTGTTTGCTGTGATAACCATATCGATTCACTTTTGTACAGGTATTTATACGTTTAATTTCGGGGTCTGTACTTCATTCTTATAACTTAATCTAAACAATGGTTTTGTTTCTCCCTTTCTCCAAATACACAATTTCTTGCAGATGTGGGCACATGTGTACTTGTTCAAAATGTGCCAATGAGTTAATTCGTGGTGGTGGTAAGTGTCCTTTATGCCGAGCACCAATTGTTGAGGTGGTCCGAGCATATTCCATACTGTAAAAAGGAAGTTAAAAGGACGTTGATCTCAATTCTCAAGGTCTCGAGGTTCTTATTTATAAGTGTTCAGTATATGCCATTGTTTTTCTGATTATATAAGGAACTCCACGAATTGTATAATTGGATTAACAAATGGCGCTGTTGATTCATCATTCTTACGTAAATAAATAGTTGCCCTCATTATTCTTTCCAAACAAATTTCGTTGAAAATTCCAAGCTTGTATATGAATAAAAACAGAATTACCAAAGAGATGGTCAATTTTTGCCTCAGAAAATCGCAAATAGGAAATTGTTATTTCTTATATTGCATATTGTGTGCATATTTTTTACGCAAATAATTCTCGGACGGCTTTGACGATTTTAAATTACTGGTGTTCAATTTTGTATGCTTTTAGTTTCCTTTAATGGTTAATTGATATTCTTTACATAATTACTCTTATAACCATCATTACTAATATTCGAAAGATTTATAGTTTACAAGCACAAGATAGATTTTGATTATAGCACGCGAAATAGGCACATTCGTTCACATAAATAAGATAGGTTGATGATCTTGACTACCAGTTGATTCAAAAAAGTAAGTGCTTGCCAGAAATTTAATTTACCCCACCTGGCCTTTAGGTCAATTGATTACTGGAATAATTAGCTTTATGTGTAATTTGTTATATTCCCTTGCGTCTGCTTAAAGATTGTATAAATTTAGCATTCCCAAACGTGAATGATCATTAATAAGTTCTCTAAACAAAACAATGCAAAAAGTGGGTTAAGCAACATGTTGGAACAACCTAAGTTAAACTGTACAAAACCATTTTACCTCCTTTCAAGATGATACGTACACATCCAAACCTATTTGCTTGCTACCTTACCTAAATGAAAGCTAATTTTCGGTGTGCTTATTTAGTAACGTGATGTTGGGAAAAAGGATTTGCAAGGATGGCAACGTCATGCAAAGCGAGTTTAATTTTGTTTATTGATGCGCATGTTATAATATAGCTTCCACTTTTCTTGTTAGGATATTGACCACCATGTCACAATATCGTTCTTTAATTTTGGATGCATCACAAGAGTGGTTCCTGTTACTTTAACTTTTACGGCAGTCATCATTGAATCTTTGTAAATTCTCGATAGATTCAATTATGTGGTTCTTGTTGATTAGCTGTGAAGCGTCGTTGGTCACAATAAATTTTAACAAGATAACGCAGGTGTAAATTGTGTTGTGGCTAAGAGCGTGAGAAAACTGTTTCTGTAAAGGAGAAAAAGAGAATATGTATCCCCTGCAATTTTGAAGGATATACCACTTGCAGTCTTGTACAGAAAACAAGGAACAAAGAGAATGGTTTTAGTATAAAGAGTGAGAGGACCCGCTTAGGATATCTCTCTTCTTGTGGTAACACAGGAAAGATGTGGCAAGAGGGTCCCTTCACTAGATTTTGTACTGCTTCAATTATCCTCTCTCTGCACTGCCAAAGTTATGAACGTCATTAACTTTTGGGTGCAAATTTGAATGAATAAAAAAAAAAATTAACTATGAAGTTACTTGTACTTGTTCATACCTGTAAAATCTTCAAATCGTGTAGGGCAAGGTAGAAGTAGTGGAATCTCTGGCATCATATCGGTCTTCCTTTACATCTTTCTTTTGTTTCAGCCTTTCTTCAAGATCTTTAACCTTGTTCTTGTACTCTTCATTCTCCTGTTGAAGAAAATCTTTCTTCCTGTGTAGCTCACCATTTTCTTTTTTCATTTGGGCAATTTCATACTTTAACTGGGCATTATTGTGACAGGAAGCTTCGTTTGTTTTTAGATTCCATTGCAGCCGTAGGATTTTTTCCTCAAGCTCAATTTTACTACGCTTGCAGTCCTCAAACTCTGATGTAACTTTCTCAATGGTTGAGATTCTTCGAATCTGAGATACATTCTTAGCCTTCAGCTCATCAAACTCTAAGGATAGCATCTGGTATGAAGCTTCCAGTCTTCTGAATTCAAATTCTGCTTCATACAGTGAGCTCTTAAGGATAAAGATTTCATTCTGAAGCATTTCTGTTTTCTGAAGTTGAACTTCTAGTTCAGATATTTCTTCTGTTGCTTGTAGCCTCTCAAGTTCAGAGGCTTTCAGTTCCACTTCGAGCCCTCTAACAGTGCGCTTCAGTTTCTCTTCATTTGATTTGAGATTTTCCAACAAAACAACCACTTTTTCATGATTAACCACAAGAGTTTCTTGGTTTGCCCTGGAAACTGCAAGTTCTTCAGTATAATTTTGCAGCATGACTTTGTATTCAGCTTCAAGATTATCAAACTTGGTCTCAAGTAGCCTTACTATCACCTGTTCTTGTTGAAGAGCAGCTTCAATCATAGCTTTATCAGCACATAAATCATAGACCTCAAGTACAATATTAGAAGCCATCCTCTTGTGTCTGTAACAGATGCCAGATATCTGGTCACTTAGGTGTTCAACCTCCCTCTGCAAGTAACCTACCTCAGCTGTTTTCTCTAAATTCGTCTGTGTTAAAAATTTCTCTTCAATAATGAACCTTTCATCTAGCTTTCTGCTTTCCTCAAGAAGGAACTCTAGATCTACATTTATGTTTTTTTCTTTCAAAGCAATTTCTTCGAGTATTGAAGTAAATTTATATTCCAATTCTTCAACTAGTTTCAACATATCAGAAAATGCAATATGTGATTCCCCCAGTTTAGAATCCAATACTGTACATTGGCTATGCAACTCCAAGTTTTGCATTCTTAACTCATCATTTGTTGTTTGAAGAGTTTTAGATTCTTCAATCAATTTTTCATTTGTAGCTTGTAATTCTAAGTTGGCTACTTTCAGAAAACTGCACTCCTCTTGAGCTTCTATCCATTTTTTATTCATTCTCTCCTCCTTTCTTTTCAGCTCAACCTTTTGTGCCTCATTCAATTCTTCCATTCTCCTGATCTCAGCCTGAAGATTTTTGACAAGATTTTCAGAATTCTCCAGTGCCAAATGAGCCGACTCTTTTTCTTCTATCAAATGTGTCATATCAGTTTCGAAGCCAAACATCCTTTCAGATAACTGTACTTTTTCTGCTTCTAGTCCAAACAAAAAACTGCCTTCATCATCACAACTTTCAAACGATGGATTCCTCACATGATCTTTGCTGATCAGACTGTGGGAATCCTTTGTCCAATAGTGAAACTTCATATAATTTGGAAAATCAGTGGAGCAACTTGAAGAAATTTTGGATTGCAAATGAGCAACTTCAGTTTCCAGTTCTAGCTCGGAATACCTTGGATTGGATTTCTCATTCCCTGGCATACTGACTGATTTCAGCTTGTTGGTCTCGGCAGATTCAACCTGTCGTGGAAAATCAGGCATCAGTTTTGCCTGGATATTTCTCAATTCCTGACTAGAAATGTAAAATATATTTTCCTTTTCACTGCAATCCCTAACTTCATTCCGAAATACATTATCATTTCTGCTTTTTCTTCCGACCAACTCGTCTTGTGAATTAATTTCGTACTCAAAAGAAGTCGCTTTTGTTTCAAGAAAATTCTTCAAGAGGATAATTGTACATAGGATTGCCTCAGTCAATTTCTTCAAATCTATATTACTTGTATCTTTTGAAAGATCTGATATACTAAAGCAATTCTCATTTTTGGTTAATGTCATTTGACCCATAACAGAATCTTGACCCCTCAGTTTCTCTACTGAAAGCTTCAGCTGCTTATATAACTCATGGAACACTTCAGTGATGTTGATAGCACTACTATCAGAGTCAAACAGTGGAAAATTAGAAGAAAAGGAACCAGAAATTATCAGATCCTTTCTGGACTCTTCAAGCTTCTCACAATATTCAGCTTCAAGATCTTGCACCCTTTGTGTTAAAGATAAGATCTCATTGCCAAAAGCATAAACATCCTCAGATAACTTGTTTTCAAAGTTGATAATTTGTTTCCCTTTCTCAAATAACCTACTCCTACATTTTGCCTCATTTTCTTCTAATGTTTGAGCCATAAAACATCTTGCTCTTTGTATCTCATGATCTTTGTCGTTCAGAGTTTTCTCCAGAATCTGGATAGTACTTTCCATATTCTTGTGCTTCTCCTGCATAAGTCGGTGCTCAAGTTCCAAGTTACGGAATTCCTGTAATTCAATCCCTTCATGCAGGCATCTTATTGCATTTTCACAAGAACCGAGATCAAAATCTGAATAACAAAGCTCCTTTCTCATTTTCTCTGGCAGCACTTCCTTGCTCAAACTAAAATCCTCTTCCTCACTGTCTTCAATCACTTGGCTATTAATTTCAGCATCTGAAAACCGCAAGCAATTAGTTGATAGATCAGCAATCTTCATTTTCTGCTTTTCTTTTATCTTTTCTAGTTTCTGTAAAATGGAAACAAGATCCACTTTTGACTCCTGTGTTTTCATTATGAACTCCAAGTCGCAATTAAGTTCTTTCTGATACTTGATCTCATCCTTCAACTCCTTTATTGTATTATCCATCTCTTCTATCTGGAACTTAAGATTTCTGCTGTCATTTTGTTTCAACATTGAGGTTAGTAGTTGAATTTCCTCCTTCAATGCATCGGTCTCTTTGCGTGATGCTGACAACTGCATTTCAAGTTCTTTTTTATTCTTTGACTTCTTGTGTAAATGCTTTCGCAGTCTCTCCACGTCAACCATCAATTTTGTAGCATTTTCTTCCCACATCTTTGCTTCACCATGAAGTAAATCAATGGTCACTTGTGCTACACCCAGGAGATCTTTAGATGAACCAACACTTCTTGTCAACGTTGTGTCACTGGCATGTGATACTTTCCCAAGCTCTTCAATTTTACCTTGAAGCCGTGTCCCAGAACTTGAGGTTACTGGGGAAGAATACATTGATCCAGAGGTTTCATATAGTGGACATGGGCTATTTTCAGAGTAAGTTGAATCTTGTTTCTCATTCATTTTCTTCTCCAATCCACTGACATTACTTTTTTGGGGGCTCCCAATCCAGAAGGACAAGGAACTCCCAATATCGTGA